GATTTCAATGTGAATCATGACTGGATAAGAAGGATTAAATCTCCCCTCTCTGGGCATTTTGCTCCAGCTAGAAGTTGAGAGAAGCTAGATCCAGGGTTAATGGAGGGTGGAACTCTGACTTGACCACAAGCATGTTAACAATGTAATGTAATTGCGTAAAAATATTCAATATTTATTGAGAATTTTAACCCTAAATTAAGGTCTTGCTTTTCTGCCTTCTTTTCTTTTCTTCATTTTAAAGCAGAGGACAGAAGTGGGAGATTTCACTTTCCCACTTGCATTAATTTCATTCAGACAAATCAGTTTTCAGCTTAATAACTTCTACAGTAAAATATCAATTTGCAAAAATAAAAAATAAATCCTTACTTTTTGTCCATCATTGGTTGTTCATGCTTTATAGGAAAAAATGGCATTTCCCCCTTATATTTCAAGGCTCCACTGTCATAGTGGGGAAAGCCATAATTATGGAAATAATCTTTTTGCTGAAAAACAACAGGAAGTCTACTTCCATTGTCTCTGGCCTCCCTGATACCAATTAAATACTACAGTGAGCCTTTTGCAGAAGTGAAAAGAAAAGTATTGGTTCATGTAACTTATCTCATATGTAGAAATTTCTATGAGCTTAACCTGCTCATACATCTTCAATAGTGCCTGCTCTGAATAACAGCAATTTTGAGAATAGACAGCTTTTCATCTACCATCCTTCAGAGAAATCTTTTCCCCATTCTCATTTCCCATTACCTGATCCTTTGAACTTGTAATGCTTAGTGTTTTCTTTGAGTGGAAGCTTCCAAGACTGCAGATAATTTGGTTAAAAGGGAAAATAATGTGTTTTACCTAGTTACCTGTTCTGACCCACCCTCGTTCCACACCAAAGCACATTCCGAGCCAGAGATAAATTATGGCATTTAATTAACAGAGAAACAGGTCCTTGGCAGCAACCCAGCACAGACAAGCTTGGGCAGCAATCCAGCCTGCCAAGCTCATACAAAGTTCTCTAACATTCGATTCTGTGTTGACGTCTGCAAAGAGGGGCATGTGCACAAGTAGCTTTTTTATAATCTGGAGAGGAGCCTAATGAACACCAGCTGAGTGCAATTACCTCCTGTAATTGCATAATTGTTTCTGACGCCTATTAGCCATTCGATGGCGTGCATCCAGGAACAACTCACTACTGGCTT